GATCTGAAGATCTCAAGTGCTTAACAGAGTACTGATTATCACGCACAAGCAAAGGAATTAACTGAGGCTGGAGAAAAACCATTCAAAGGAAGTAGAACAATCCTTGGAGATAATGCGGGAATGGGAATAGTGCCTGTTTTCATCTGCAGAGAGGAAAACCTCATAATCCAGGAGCATTGGTTAGAGTGGAAAGATGAGTCTTACCTCAATAAAAGGGGGAAATTACCTTTAGCCTAAACTATTCTTAAAAGCAAGACTTAACAGAATCAAATTACTTGTTCCCAAGTAATATAAGCACATCCCAGGACAAAGATAAAAAATATTTATAGGAACACAAAAATATCCAGCACTTAATGAGGTAAAATTCACAATACTAATATTCAAAAAAAATTATCAGGCACACTACTATGGAAAAAGTATGGAGATTCCTCAACAAATTAAAAATTACTACCATGTGTCCCAGCAATTCTACTTCTAGGTATTTAGCTCAAGAAAATAACAAAAGCACTAATATACAGGGTCCAGCACAAATAGTGCCCCTTTTTATTACATAAAAATCTTTTAATACAAAATCATGAGCATATAATTCTGGAATGTAACAATATCACACTCCAGCACACCATATACCATTTCAGGGGAAATGTTCAAATTGTCGTCCACCTTGTGTGAGACATTCACATACCCTACCAATCACACTCAATGGTGTTACTTCTGCTGGACCCTGTATATGAATCCCTATGCTCATTGCAGAATTATTTACAATAACCAAAATTTAGAAGCTACCTAAGTATCTATAGACAGCTGAATGGATAAAGATATGGTATATATTTATATGTGATGGAATATTACTCAGCAGTAAAAAATAATGAAACCTTGCTATTTAAAACAACATAGATGGACCTAAAGGATATTATGCTAAGTGAAATAAATCAGAGAAAAATAAATACTGTATGATTTCACTTACATGTGGAATCTAAGAGAATAAAACAAACAAAAGCAGGTTCAGAGAAACAGTACAAACTGATCGTTGCCAGAAGGGAGGGGTGTAAAGGGATGGGTGAAAAAGGTGAAGGGGAATAAGAAGTACAAACTTCCAGCTGTACAATAAATAACCCATGGAAGTGTAGCACACAGCACTGGGAATACAGTCAGCAATATTATAATTAAGTTGGTATGGTGACAGATGGTTACTAGACTTAGTGTGGGGATCACACTGTAAGGTAAACAAATGCTGAATCACTATGTTGTGCACCTGAAACTAATGCACTATTGATGTCGAGTGTAATTTAATGTAGTTTGAATAACAAAAATTACCAGGCATGCAAAGCAGAAAAATAAAACTCATAATGAGAATAAGAATCAATCAACTGGAACTGACTGAGAAATGACAGAATTAGTAAACAAGTACATTGAAAATTTTATTATAACTATTTCATCTGTTCAGAAGCTAGAGGGAAGACTGAATATGTTAAGTAGAGACATAGAAAATATTAAAAAATAATCCAACTTTGACTCTAGAAAGGGAAACTACATTGTCTGAAGTAAAAAATGTATTGTGTTAACAAGAGCTTATACATTTCCAGAAAAAAAATAATGAACTTGAAGGCAAGCAAAAGAAACTATTCAAAGTGAAACACAGAGATACAAGACAAAAAAATGAACAGGAATTAGTGAATTGTAGGACCATATCGAGTGATCAAGTATACCTATAGTGGAGGTCCCCAAAGGATAAGGGAGGGGAAACTAAAAAAACTGAAAAATAATGGTTGAAAAATTTTCAGATTTGATGAAAACTAAGCCACAAAATCCCCCACCCTGTAAAAAAAAGAAAACCAAATCTATTTCAAACACCAGGAAGATGAAGAAAACTATACAAATCTCATAATCAAGCTGCTTAATAATCAATGATACAGGAAAAGTAAAAGCAGACAGGAAAAAAAGAGACATTATGTACAATAGAAGAAAGATAAGAAAAAGATTAAATGTCTTCTGTTTAGATCAGGAACAAAACTAGGATGTCTAATCTCACCGCTTCTATTCAGCTTTTCATTGGAGGTCTTATTCTGCGTAATAAGGTAGGATAAAGAAATAAAAGGCATGCACATTGGTAAGGAAGCAGTAAAACTGTCTTTACTCATAAGACATAACTGTCTATGTTAAATATCAAAACCTACTACAAGTTTTAAGTGAGTTTAGCAAGGTTGTAGGATACAAGGTAGATATAAAAGAAGTCACTGTATTTCTAGAGAGTAGCAACAGACAAAACTTAAAATTTTAAAAAGCAAGACCATTTATCACAGAATAAAAATATGAAATACGTAGGGTTGCACAAAACCTGCACATTGAACACAACAAAACAGAGAAATTAAAGAAGACCTGAGTAAATGGAGAAAAATGCTGTGTTAATGAGTTGGAAAATACCGCATTGTTAAAAATGTTAGTTCTCCCTCAACTGATCTATAATTCCGTGCAATGACAATCAAATCACCAGTAGGCTTTTTTTTTTTGTGGAAATTGACAACCTGATTCTAAAGTTCATATAAAAATGCAAAGGACCTAGGAGAGGCAAAACGAGTTTCAGAAAGAACAAAGTTGGATAGATAGCACAAACTGATGTTAAGATCTATTACAAAGCTATAATTATCAAAATAGTGTTGTAGTGTCCTAAATATATACAAAATGAACCATGGAATGAAACAGCGACTCCAGAAATAGATTCACACATATATAATCAATCAATTTTTCAACAAACAATTCAACAAATGCTAAAATAACTGAATATCCACAGGCAAAAATACAACCAGCACCATCACCATAAATGCTGTTATCCTCATCTCACACTGTACACAACAATTAACTAAAAAAATCATAGGCCTGAATCTAAGAAATCATAAGAAAATTTCTGTGACCTTGGGTTAGGCAAATATTTCTTAGATATGACACTAAAAACACTATCAATATGATTTAAAAATTGATAAACTGGACTTCATCAACATGAAAATCTACACTTCGAAGGGCACTAAATAGAGAATGAAAAGACAAATCACATAGTGTAAGAAAACATTTTCAAATCATGTTTATGAGTACATAACTGGGAGGCTCACACACTGCTGGTGGAAATGTGAAATAGAATGACCAGTTTGGAAAATAGTTTGGCAGTTTCTTAAAATGTTAAACATACACCTACTACACAACCCAGTCGTCCCATTCCCAAATATTTACCCAAGAGAAATAAAAGCATGTATCCACACACAGACCTGTGCACAAATAATCAAAGCAGCTTTATTTCTAATACCTAAAAAATGTAATCAACCCAAATGTCTATCAACAAGTGGATGGATAAATAGTGAACAAATTATTACATATCCATGTAATGAAATATTACTCTGCAATAAAAAGTAATGATCTATCAGTACTCACTATGACATGAATGAATCCCACATGAATCATTTTGGGTGAATGAAACTAGACCTCCCTCCCCATTGAAAAAAAAAGTACTTTCTGAATAATTCCATTTGTGTAAAATTGTAGATAAAACAAACGAATCTATAGTAACATATAAGTGGTTGCCTGGGAATACATGGGCAGGGAAGAGTGGAGGGGTGGGCAGTGGAGAATACAAAGGATTATGAGGAAACTTTGGGGGTGATGGGTATATTTGTTATCTTAATTGTAATGGTTTCATGGGTGTATACAGATGTCAAAACCTATGGGATTTCATACTTTAAACACATGTAGTTTATTATATGTAATTATATTTCAATAAAGCTATTAACTCTTAAAATTGATTAAAATTGAATAAAATTAAAAGTTCAGTTCATCAGTTACCCTAGCCACATTTTAGGTTTTTAACAGCCACATGTGGCTAGCAGTGACCATTCTGGATAGCACAGAACAGAACTTTGCCATCAGTGCTCAAGTTCCCTTGCACAGCACTGTGGTCACGCATGCACGAAAGAGCTGTTTCTTTCATTTCTCCTACATCCACCTACCCCAAATTTCAAGAATGGGAATAAGGATGGCATCATGGCACTCATATAAATTATCTGAGAATTCTAAAAAGCAGTTTTTATTAAGTTTAATGTAACTGTAATGGACAATATACCTTCTATTTATAAACACAGATAGCACAGTGTTTCCTCACTCAGACATCACAGCTTCCATGGACTGCATGTAATGAGCTCTCTCCAAAGCTCAAGTTGAAGGCAATTTTAAAATAAATGACATGGAAAGAAATGAAACAGATAATATCCCTTTGGAAGTTTATCCTTGTAATCAAAGTGGTTATTAGCTTCAATATAACTCCTAAATGAGAATATATAATTTTTTCAGATTTTCACAGATATCTTAGTTAACTTTTGTTCTGCTTCAGAATATACTATATAATGCAACTGAATTTTCCTATTTAAAAAACATCAAGCATATAACTCACAATAAATACAATCAGAAATTTCAAATGTGAGAACAGACATTAAAATAGAATGCTATGGTATGTATTGAAATCTGCCACATTCAAAGAAAAGTTCATAAAATTAGCACAGGAAAGTTGTTAAAACTTAGTATTCTCACTGAAGGTTTTTTTCCTTCCTTCACTGCAGCTCACAGTTTTGAGAGAGGTGATTTTATTTAAAAAGACTTGAAGTCTCTTTTCTGCCCCCCTTGTCGCCTATGGACTTGGAAGGCAGAGTATGCCTGTTCGATGTGTTGGGGTTTTTTTCATGCAGAGAATGCAGGGCTGAAGTCCTGAACCATCCCTGTTCCAAAGCTTGATCCACTAACCCTTTTTGCATAGTTTGATGCCTGAGTCATCTGTCTTAGAAATGGAATACGAAAAAAGGCAACTGGGGTTAAGGGTGAGAAAAGAGGCTGGTGGCCAGTGCAGACCAACCAGAACAATTCAAGCCCAAACAGTGCCTTGTAGTAGATAAGCAAGAAGTATAAAAATAGAAACCAAGTCCCTCTGTTTGCAGAAGCAGAACTCACAAGCCAGTTTCACTTACTTTTTTACACCGACAGAGCCATTTTCCTTGTTTTCCATGTCAACAGATAGCATGGGAAGGCTGCAGGGTTCCTTTACTTCAGCAACTAATTAATAAGGGAGAAAAGCTTGTGTTTAATTCTTAGAAAGTGAGAGACGAATATATATTCTGAATCGGAAACATAATGGTTCCTTTTACAGCTTCACACCAGTTCACGTATGTTTGTTTAAATCTCCAATTCCCTCACCGATTGGAGAGATGTGATTAAACCTAAAGAACTGGAGGAGACGGATAGGGGTGCTTTCCTCCGTTCTGGCACTCCCTGCCTTGACAATAAGCATTTGCAAATGAAATTGAATCCTTGTTCAAAACAAGTTCTGTGTGAACTGGCACAGCTTCCTCTGGGTGCAAGCTCTCACTTAAGACATTGCAACTCACAAATTGAGGCAAAGTGGAGAAAAACAATCCCCCTTTTCCTGCCCCTTTCCTCCATGGGCTGTGATTTCTTTTTTCTTATTGCATTTGGTTGGGGGTTTTTTGTTCACTCCCTCTCTTTCTATATTTTTTTCGTAACAATGCCAAAGAGCACTTAAAGCTTTTGTTAGCAAGTATCCCCCTACCTCACACACTCTCAGTAAAAGGCTCACAAGCCCGTGAGATGGCCACGCTTTGATAACGCTGGAAGCTCACAAAAATGTCAGATAGCCTTTCTCATGAAAAGGTGGTGCTAGGATGTGTGTAAGAGAGGGTAGGCAGCTAATTAGATTTATGTAAAAATCACCAGAACATTCAAGGAGATATAACAGCATCCATCACTTTGTCTTTTTGTTTAGTAGGATGAGCACTGTGAAAAAATAAAAACCCTCCTCAACTAATATGCAATTAGCAAGATGAAAAAGCTATGAACAAAACTGCTTAAAAAAAAACTAGTTCTGAAACGTGCTTGCTCTTCTACAGCTGAAGCCATAAATTAAATACATTTCCTCTCAAATCACTTTATAGTTCGGCACCCCTTCTCTAGGGATTACTCTGACATGACAAGTGCACCATTTAGTATATTCACAAGATTTTATCACTGTTAGAGAAGTAGATGATTAACAAATAATACTGTAAGTGTGGGATTATCTGCACTCCACACACACACATACACACACACAAACTTCCAGTCGCTAAAGCACTAGAGCATTCAGAGAGAAACCCCACATTGCATATACATATAGGCATTAACATACATTCACACACCGTCACAGAGGAGACAGAAGATAGTGCTGCTGCTCCATGCCAAAAGAATGATTTCACTTCAGTTGGAAACTGTTCACATATTCACCATTTTCTAAGCATCTCAGAAAACAAAACAAAACAAAACACTCACAATGATACTCTCTAACACCACACTACATTGTCTTATTATTATTATTTTCTTTTTTTTCTTGTGGAAGAGTAAAAAGAAAACCTACCTAGAAGCAACTAAAACATGTCATTTTTTATAGGCTTATCAAGAACAGCCAAAGAAACCCCAATGTTTTCTTTCACAAAGTAGGCTGGCAAAGGAATTCAATAAGGAGGTACAATTTGACACAGTGAAATAAAACCAGGCTGGCTCTGAGCCAACATGACGTTAGGAATCACACACAAGCTGCACCAACTGCCTTCTGGTTCATGGCTGACTTTTTAAAGCTACAGTGTGCCCGTTCACTTTTGCAAACTACCTTCAGCCCAATTAGTGGAAGTGAATGAATCCCGAGTGCAAGAACTGCCCAATTCTCCCTACACCTCTCCTGCACATAGAAAAACAAGCTGTATCAATAGCTTATTTTTGCCCTCCCCTTCATTGTTGCTGCATGGTAAGTGTTTGCTATTGTTCTGAACATGAATGTCATGTTTCAAACTCTTTTTCTCCCCACTGAGAGAAAAAAATATAAGAGAAAAGAAGAGAAAGAACTTAGTGTTTATGCACTATGACTAGTGAACACACAGAAGCTGCAGTCCCGCGTTTCTCTTTTTTCCTAATAGAGACTTGTATACAAAGTTCCCAGGGCTGGCTTTTAAGTAATCTCTTTGTGAGGATAAGAAAAGCATGGCCCAACAGAAAATCCTTTTACTTCATTATGCAGGAAATAACATATTTCAGAGGATGCAAAGTAGATGACCACCAGATCTCTGGAGAACACCCACATTCTTTTATTTTGGTATTCATCCTACCAGATGAAGTTAGCAAAAATTAAAAATGAAGCAAACTTTATTCTCCAAAACAATTAGTTCTGGGAGGTTTAATTTTAACTGTTTATCCCAGTCGCACAGAAAAGCATAATTGCATACATTCAATTCACACTTATTATCTATGAGCACCTGGTACTCCATTAGTTACATATGAAAAAGAAGCTAGTATGCCAACCCTCGAATTCGTAGTATCTTCCACCATCCTAAATCTGAATTCAGGAAATTGGGAGGTGGAGTGGAGACTGGGCATGGTTTTTCGGTGAAGTTACCCTGATCAGTCTCATGGTTCTCTTGCTTGGCTGGAAAGAAGGATGGAGACAAACATGCCCATTCCATAAACATGCTGCAGACACATGAAACACATAATTGCCAACATTTGGGCACTTGTAGGCCAAGGTATGAACAGAACCACTCGAGATAGGGCAGAGAATACAGGCTCCCAAGAAGGATCCTAGAAAAAGTCATCTGCTGCTGTAATACTGTTTAGATTTCAGGCAGAATTGAAGAGAAACCTGTGGGTTATCCTTTTCCTTAGAATTTTTTAAGGTCACTAGATCAGGAACTATGATCTAAATTTGCAAACCAAATTTATTTTTTTGTTACTTATTCCAGGAATGATATTAGAAATTTTGAAATTCTTAAAAAATCACTGCTGAGAAAGATTTCTCTGGCCATCTTTGCCATTGCCCCCTTGAAAAAGCAAGTAATAATTTACGTGACACTTCTAAGTGTTCATATATTTTGTAGCATAATTTACTGAGCAAGGGTCAGATAGGTGGGTCTTTTACCATCGCTGATTAAAATGATGAACTCTGGAGATAGCTCTTTCACCAGTAGATTTTATAATGCTTTTGGAATCGATCTAAAATTCTTGAACTGTTCTTCAACTAAACTCAAATGGAACAGGGGAGGGCTGTGAGTCCTGGGGGCAAGGAAGCTGTATTGACAGTATCATCACACCACTCCTCAGAGCAAAACCAGATTCAGCTCTACTCTTGAAAGGAGGGGCAGTGAAAACGTGGTCACGCCCGATTCTTCCGTAGACACAATCACGGGAAAAAGGATTCTGTGAAGATTCTCCAAGAATTTCTTTCTACATATAGAGGACATCCCCTCCTGTCTTGCCTGCTGTGATCAAAGTTTGCCTGAGATGAGAGTAAGGGTTTATGAAGGTATAGGAAATAATCCCATTTCATAAATAATGAGCCACAAAGGCATTCTAAATCCTGACACTAGGAGGTTTCATGCATAAGCTAGTTTCTAACTTCGGAATAAAATGACATTTGTGGGTATAAGTATATATACTAGTGTTCACCCACTTCCTCTCCACTCCCTTCAACGAACTAATATTAACCTTCCTTTCTGCTAATAAAAATGATATGTATGTAGTGCATATGGTGTTCGTGGTGTGCAGCATAGATGGTGTAATGCACAAGGTGGGGACCAAACAAAAAACATGGAATTATCTTCTGGAGGGTAGGCCCCTTGTAGTACAGGCTTCCCAGGCTAGGTGCATGTTCTAGGAGCCCATCTGTATCAGGGTACCAGCAGGCATTGTTGTGAGAGGCTGTGTTTGGCTTCAATAATTTTTTTTGAAGGCTCTTTCAAGGCATTTGCCCAGTTTATGGTGGGTAATTTATGAGCATACACTGCGTTATGTTCAGTAGTTTTTGACCAAAAACATCATGACTACCGTGCTCCACCCTACCTATTCACGGGGTTGGAGCGACTTTTTTATTATTTCTCGAGAAGAAAAAAAAGTCCTCAAAGGTAAACGCTTTGCTGATGTGGAAAAGGTGAGACAAAAAACGGCAAAAGCACTAAGAGGCATCAAAATTGAAGAATTCAAAAACCTATTTTGGGCAGTGGAAAAAAGTCTCCATAGGTGTACTGCATCAAATAGAGGGCACTTCGAAGGTGCCTGAAGTTTAAACATGTAAGAATAAATTCACGATTGTTCATAAATAAATTCTGGTTTTTGGGTCCCCTCACGGATGTGTGTGCAATGTGTGATGAGTGTAATTTTATGCTATGTGCATTGTGTGTGCCTGTTGCACCTGTTTGTGGTGTGTGTACTGTATGTTTGCAGAATGTGCAGTGTCCGTGGTGTGTGTGTGTTAGTATAGGGTGTGAGAGATGCAAACAAAGAAGACCCTCCGATCCAGGCTACTACAGACAGTGCTAAAACACCTTCGTTGGTCCTCGGGTTGGGATTCTGGCGCAGCACTTCTGTGCACACTTGGGAATGGGTTCAGATGGGACGTGGGAACGGGTCAGAAAGGGACTGAATGGGGCGCGGGGATGGGGAGCCTCCCTTCCGCTTCTTTTATTGGCCAGGAGTCATCCCCCAGGATGAGCAGCTTTGCCCAGAAAGCCAGAGCCGTTCCACAGGTGCCATCGCCCCTGCTTCCCGCCGGGATCGGCCCCCAAGAGTGTCCAGCCCACAACCCAGTGCAGACCTGGGTCCATATGGCTGCTGAACGAATCTCGGGAAGTCTCCCCAAGGCATGGCAGAGTTCGACGGTCCCCAAAGGCGGCCCAAGGGAAAGTGAGGAGTGGCCTGGAGAAGGGGCGCTGGGTGCCGGACAGAGGGGAGGACCCGCGGCGCCGTCCGAAAGCCAAAAAGTCGCTCGTGGTACCGGCGACCGAGGGAAAAGTTTCTGGCCAAGACTTTCAAGAAGAAACGGTCCGCTCTGGGTTTGGGGGTCCCCCGGGGCAGCCTGTCTTTGGAAAAGGAGTGTGGTCCCAGCCGAGCCGCGCCACCACCCGGCTCCGTCCCGCGAACTCTCCTCCGCAGCCGCCGCCGGCCGGGCGCGCTTCTGCCCCCAGTTCCACTCCGGGGTGACACGCTCGTGGGTGCAACAAGCTGAAGAGGCACCAGACACACAGCAGAGACGACGGAGGGTTTTTATTGGGACTTTCTTCGTTCCCTCTCCCCCTGGAGAAGGGAGAGGGTCGGAGAGCCCTCACAGCGCCAGTGTACACTCACCTCAGCGCAAGCTCGTGCCGGGAGGGTCTACCCGGCGCGGAGCCGTCGGACGCGGAGCACCCGGCCCCCGAGCAGCCCGCGGGGCGCGCGCGGCACGCCGGGACTTGTAGTCCTCCCGGGGCTGGCGGGGCGGGGGTCGTTGGCTGGGCCAACAGGAACCAGGAAGGCCAGGGAGTGAAGTGGCCTTGTGAATGTAAGGGAGGACTGTGTTAAACAGTTAAATCCCCCAGGGGCTGGGGGGAGGGGAACACTCCTAGAAAGACTTTTACACTGGGGAGTTTCAGACGAAAACCACGTTTTATTCAGTGGGTTTTGGCAGTAATGAGAAAGCGATTTCCTAGACCAAGTTTATGTTATTCAGGGCCTTACTTATTCTTTCACCCTCAGAACACACGTGGCATTCCTGCGTGAAACACCGATTCTGTTGCTCACAGAGAACTGAGTTGAAGTCCTGGGTATGCAAAGGGAGGAAAAATCATTGCACCTTACATTTGTAGAGCGCTCTACAGTGTCTGATTTATTTTATCAGAATCACAAAGCAACACGGAGGCAGAGAAAAACTCAAGATGTAGGGCGGGTTTTTGTTCGTTTGTTTTTGTTTTTGTTTTTGTTTTTGTTAGCACCTACCAAGGTTGGAGCCACTTACACTCTCCATTTCCTTCCAGAACCCTCTCTATCGGGGAGGGAGGGAGGAGCTGCAGACAGATGTGGTGGGGAAGTGAAAGAAGAGGAGCCTGCTCTGAAAGACTTAAAATAGCTGAGGACTAGATCCTTGTTAAATAAGGATGTAAGTAAAACCAAAAGAAGAACCCGTGGACTGGAAGAATAGAGTGGGAAGGAAAAGCCAGGTGGGATAGGGATAGAGACCAAATAGAACGTTGTAATTAGTCTAGAGGCCATAGGAAAAGTTGTATACGTATTGTTTAAAGCAAAAACAAACAAGTTTTAGAAGCCAGATGGACCCGGAATCCTGGTGGTGGCACTTCAGAGCTACCTCTGTGATCTTAGGTAAGTTATTTAACCTCCCAAACCTTGTCTTTAAGATTTCAATAGTAGTTCCTGCTTTATGATGTGGCTGTGTGAATTAAAGGATATGGAAAGCACTTTGTATGGTGTTATTATTATTATTTATTATTAAATAAATAAAGTTAAATATATTAATATTATTATAGTGTATAAATATTATTTATACTTATTATATGCCAGGCACTATACTAAATATAAATAATATTATTTATTCATACTATTATTATTTGCAGAAACTCCTTTTGTGGAAGCATCAAAAGATAAATTGAAGTAAAAGTACCAGTTAGGAGGCTATGACAATTTTCTAAGTTCTGGGTAATAATAGCTTGAAGTACAAGGGTAGAAAGAAAGCAGTTACGAGACACTTTGGAGGGAAAAATGGACAGAGCAGTTCAATCAATTGGATGTGGGGAAAGAGGACTAGAGTATCAAAGATGGTTGTTTTTAGATTAAGTGGATGATGTTGTCATTCACATAAATAGGTACAAACTGAGAGAATAACATGGCTTGAAGGAAAATGACTACTTTGGTGTCGGACAAGTATAACTCGCAGCTTTGTGTATATGAATGTGAGAGTGCCATTTGGAAGTATGGATCTGGATATCGTGTGTAGCATGGAACTTTGAGAGTCAGTTACTTAGGAGAGGTAGTTGAAGATCACATGGAGAGGAAATAGGAAAGGCAGCAGAAATGGGGGGTGGGGGTGGGGTAAGGAGTTACACAATGACACCAGGCAGGAATTGGAGAGGGGGGAAAGGAAAGCTGTAAGAGTGCAGTGACAGGTAACCCAGGGGGTGAGGTGGAGTGAGGAGGAGTTCCTGGATGGGTCAGACACGACAGGGAGGTAGCCAATGACAACAGAATAGAGACCACTGCATTTACAAATTAAGAGTCAGTTGAGATGGAAGTGCCTCAAGCAGTTGTTTTGAAACTTACCAGAGTGATTTTGCTTGTCCCACTGATTGCAGAGGGGAAAGGACTAGAATGCAGTTGGTCAGCCAAAGACACTAAACATCTTGCAATGCTCAGGACCATCCTGCACAGCAAAGAGTTGTCCTGCATCCTGTGCGACTTGACTTCCCCACTACTCCTTGAAGTAGATGGAGAACCTGTTTATATTTACCTGAGCCTAGAATCTATTTTATATATAAACAAAGTGTTTTCCACACAGTTTAAGACATATTAAATTTTCCTGGAATGTGGTGGTATATTCTTGGAATTTTAATGACTAATACTGTCCATTTTGTGGCTATTTAATGACGATTCTAAGGATGGAGGCAAGCATCTGACTGTTTTATTGTGTCTCTTAGTTTAGGCTTGTCTGAGCAGTTCCATGTTGAATCATGCATTTACTTTGTCCTCTGTTATAGTTAAGGCTATAACTTTGAATTTTTTAAAATTACATGTGTAGGTAGGTACCTTTATAATGTTAAGCAGAATATTACCCCAACTTTGTTATTAAAAGGGCGTTAGGTTTGACAGGGCTGAGAACCATTTATTCAGTAAGTCAACAAGTATCTTTTAGGTGCTATGCGCTAGGTACCATTCTAGTTACATGAGATATACCAACAAATAAAACAGAAGAAGTTTACTGTCCTCATGGAGCTTACATTCTAATGTGAGTATGGGAGAGGCAGATGTTAAATAATAAACATAAATTAAGTAAATTCTTTGGTATATTTGAAAGTGATTTATTATAAAAATAAAGCAGGATAAAGGAGATTGGGGATGCGGGAGAGAGTGTAGATGGAAATGTTAAATATTGTGATCAGGGTAAGCTTTATTGAGAAGGTGACATACAAGGAAAGATCTGGAGTGGTAAGAAAATTTTCTGCTGGGTGTCTGCAAGAACACTCCAGAAAGAGAGAACATTTAGGCATAGGCCTCAAGGTGAATGTGTGTCTGGAGTTTTCAAGAAACACCAAGGATGCTGACTGACCTGTGGCTGGGCTGGAGAGAGTAGGGAGTGGGAGGATTCAGGACCAAGACTGGGTTGAGACAGGTGATGTGGGACCTGTAGGGCATTGCAAGAGCTTTAGCTTTCACGCTGCACAAAATGCACAGCTGCTGGAGAGTTTTGGACAGAGAAGTGACATGATCAGGAATAATTTTCACAGGATTATTCTGGCTGCCCTAGCCACGATAGGTCATAGAGAGCAAATGGTATAAGTGAATAGGCAAGAAGCTATTGCCGTAATCCCAGCAAGAAATACCATGGCTTGATCCAGAGTGGTAGCAATGAAAACTAGAGTGAGAGAGGAATCATGAATACCCGAGGGCACAGTGGAAGAATTTCAGGGGTTGGGGAGGGCTGCAAGATGGAGAAAGATCAGGAGTTAAGAGTTTGGGAGAGACCTAGGTGTCTGGGACTTCTTGGGGTGACTGACATAAACAGAGATACGAGGATATTGAAATCAGTTTCAGAGGAGTGAAGAAACGTTACAATGGTGGGGGAGGCTGTGAGTGTGGGGAATAGAGATGAGTGTTTGTGTTCCCTGGCTCTGGCCTTGGAGGTGAAGAGGTCTGATATTGAAATGGGCTCCTGATCCGTGTCGGTGGAACATCGAAGGCCTGGGGAGGGGAGGATTCAATCCGGGCAGTGACTCATGACTTCTGCAAGGAGAGGACCTGACTTTTGCAGAACATGTAGTATTCTCCACTTTTGCCCCTGATCTTTTTGATGGAGTTAACCCCTTTGATGGAACTTGGGATTTGGGAACAAGCTGATAATTACTGTAAGTACAAAAGCATAGAAACATTATTGACCCAATAAAATGTACATCTACAAGAGGTGGATTGTAACTGTAGCAATGGAGGATGCAGTATAGAATTTTGGTAAAGAAGGTCAGCAGGAAGCCGGGCCATTAAAGTGAAGGGGTGCTCCAGAATTTGGAACAGGAGACAGCGAACTGTGTTTGTAAGGTGAAGTAAGGAAGCCAGTAGAAGCTGAAACATGAAAATTCAAAGCAGATGGGATAATTGATGAAATAACATTCAAGAGAAGATAGAACTATGAACTGTTTATTCTTAGAAGGAAGGTGGAACAGTATTTCCTGTCAGAAATGAAATACAATGGAATGATTCCAGAAAATTCTAGAGATAAGAAGATGCAACATTATAAAATCCTATTTATTATGAAAAAGTAAGTATGTGGTAAAATATTAAAACAACCAAAAATTAGTAACAAAAAGTGAGAATTTCCAATAGATTCATTCCTAGAATTATCCCTGTTGAGTGTTTAGTACATATGGTCTAATTTTTTTTCCTGTGAATTAGATTTTTTTTTGGTAAATGTTACATGAGGAGCTAAAATATTAGTATTTTTTCTTTGCAGGCTATAAGATTTTCATCAGTATTTATTGAACATCTATTATATACCAGATATTATCATCAATCTTTTTAAATCATATTATTCGCATTCTCTGAATGTATCCTATTTTTTCTCTTTTTGATTTTTCAAGAATGACAAAAGAAATCACTGAAACCTCCTCACTGTTTTAAAACTTTTTCCTCTTATGTCTTGAAGTTTTGAATTTTGTATTTTAATACTACATTATTTGATACATAAGATTCATACTGTAATAACTTTACTGTGATTAGTGTGTTTTGCTATTATAGAGTGACTGCCTGTCAATCATTAGAAAAACTTTATTTTGACCCCCTTTAAAATTATTTCAATTAGATATGTTTAATTCTGTTATGTCTGTATTTTGAATCCTCATTGTTTCTTTGTTTTCTCTCTTGCTTTATGATCTATTCTGTTTGTTTTTGTTTTATTTTATTATTTTTATCTTCCTCAGCATATGTTATCTATTGCTGTGTAAAGAACCACCTCACAGCTTATCAGCTTTAAAC